TTTGTTGGTTTTGATTGCTTCTATTGTCCTCATTTGTAAGTCGCTAAAAGCGTCTGCTAAATGACTAAATGTAAATGTAGTTTTAGTTACTTTAGTTTGTTGCAAAGCTAGTTTTTAACCTAATGTTTATATTTAATTAGATTTCTGCTGTATTTCAATTTACAAAGAGTTAATATTTAGTTAAAAGATGATTAAAAATTGTTTTAGTTAAAAACAAAAAAAGCTAATTAAAAATTGTTTTCGATTTAGTTAACCTTAACAACACTGGTGCAGAGATATACATGTAAACAATATATGTAAAAAATAATATATACTTAAGTTTACAAAGATACCGGCGATTACACATTATTTCTAGTAATATTGCTCATTTTGTATCAAATGTTGTGATGATTGTTATGCATTTCATTTTCAATTAACATTTATTAACCAGCTGAACCATAACATGCTAAAATAAATGTATCATTGGTCCAAATTTGTGCATTAAACATCATATATGCTTCGTCTGGCTGAGCTTTTGGTGCATTGTGTAGCATTTTTGCTTTTAGTTTGGACAGAAAAAATTATTTGCTGCAAGAAATGTTTGTTTCACAACTGATTAGAACACAGATATGCACAAAATAATGTCAGTTACCTTGATAGGTCCATATTTGAGAGTTGGCTGGGAACAGGGTAGATGTTCACCGTGGTCAGACCTATGAAAGATATCACAGTGATTACACAGCGTGAGGCCTGAGAATGGAATCCTCTGCTTCATAAACGATGCTGTGGAGGTCTGTATTCACCGTTGTCACTGGCGTGGAGTGTGCGCAGGGTGAAGCCGCTGAGCGTCAGGGCCCCCAGCTGGTTCCTCTGACACTGCAGGGTCTCCAGACTGCAGGCCGAGCTCAGGTCCAGAGACGTCAGCTGGTTGTCTCGCAGGTCCAGCTGGGTGAGATGTTTTACCGGCTCCAGAGTTTCGCTTTTAACACAGCGGAGGCCATTTAACCTGCAGACACAGGCCTAATGTCAGCTGCAAATATACTGAAGATTAACCCAGGTGAAGAATCCAAACGGCAAAAATAATGTTGGTGGACAAAGAAATTAAGATGAAGAAAAGTGGTGCTCTGGGACACCAAGGATTGAGTCCTTTTGTCTTCTTATATGTATTTTAAGCTCGGAAAATAAGTCTACTGTAGATTTTGCTTGTGCAACCAAAAAAACTAAATGCTACATTGCCATTTTTTTAAATACTGAATTATACTAAATAACTCAATATTGTTATAATCTAATTCAATATTGAAATATTAAATTAATTTATATTAAACATGTTTTCAATGAATCAGTTCGCTCAAACTGTTAAATGTAAATGAACAAGCTCAACGAATGATTCACTGATTCATCCAAGTCAGAGATTTCATTAAAAAAAATCCAGTTTCCAGTCTGATAAAAATAAGATTTTACATATCAGAAATCTAGAATAAGGGTAATTATAACATCACAGGGAAAAAAACAAAAACAAGTGTGTACAGACATATGCTAAATATAATTTCTAGAATTTAAAATACATTCACAAATAATAAATGTTGCGAAAACATGTGCTTAATGTTACACTAATTGCCAACAGGGAATGAGAGCATATTGACAGATCTTTCACATATATTACTAACAGCGAATATAAATATAAAAATGTTACACATACATTATTAAATATTAACTGTTTTCAACATTAGTAATAATAATGTTTCTTGAGCAGCAAATCAGAATATTAGAATGATTTCTGAAGGATCATGTGACACTGAAGACTTGAAGATTTATTCATCACAGGAATAAATTCTGTTTTAATATATTAAAATAGAAAACAGTTATTTTAAATTGCAAAAATATTTCACAATATTACTGTATTTTTAATTAAATATATGCAGTGTTAGTGAGCATAAGAGACTTCTTCCAAAACAAAAAAAATATTACTCGCCCCAATCTATTAGCTACTATTTTTGTATTATATATTATAAACATCAAATGCACTGAATATTCTTCCAGATATTACATATATAAATGCATATTGACATTTTGTGGAGGTCAGGCCTGAAAGAACCAGCAATGACCTTCACACTGGTTCATCTGTGTTGCCCTGCATTGAACCGAACAGCTTCCCATTATGAGACGCCACAGTTGGCTAATGACGATCAGGGCCAAATGATAGGCGCATTAAACCTTTCTTGTTAATTCGAAGCCCCCCATGAACTCGAATTCCCGCTCACATCTGTTGTTTGCACTCGCTCTGCCCACGAGATGGGTGAGTGTGTGAGGAATCTGAGCGTGTCAGGAGCGGTGGGATAATCCAGCAGAAAAACTCAAAGCTTGTTCAGGTGACAGACGCCTCGGTCTCTCTCGGCGCGAGTTCCCACGACAGCTCAGCTCTGCGTTACGAGCCTGGCTGGATTTCTAATCCACAGCAGGTGCAGTCAGGACCCAGGAAATCCACAAACCTCAGTCATTCTCTCTCTCAGGTGAGTCACAGACTGTGAGCTGCCATCAAAACCACAGGCTATTAGAAAAAATGAGTTTATGAGAAGAGCAATCGTGACTGTTAGTGACAGGGCAGCCTTAACATCAGAGACGGTCGCTCCACAGAACGTTTACTAACCGTCTGATGCATATTGCACTCAAAAATGTCACCATTTCCATCCTGATCATCTGGTTTTATGAAGCTGGAAGTAAAGCCATACAGGTTATGATTTGTGTTTTTGTTATGTAAAGTACTTTTAAACATAAAATAAGATTCAAATGTCTTAGTAACATCAAATCTTTGAAAGATATTCAGATTTTAGTCAGAAGAACTTAAACTACTGTTCAAAAGGTTTTTTTTATATGCATTTTTGAGAAAAGTCTCTTATGCTCATCAAGGCTTCATTTATTGCATTAAAAATACAGTAAAAATATTAATATTTTGAAATATTATTAAAATTTAACAACCATTTTCTATCTGAATATATTTTAAACTGTAATTTATTCCTGTGATCAAAGCTGAATTTTCAGCATCATTACTCCAGTCTTCAGTGTCACATGATCCTTCAGAAGTCATAATAATATGCTGATTTGCTGCCTAATAATAATTTCTTATTATCAATGTTGAAAACAGTTGTGCTGCTATATTTTTGTGGAAAGTGATATATATATATATATATATATATATATATACACACACATACACGCATACATACATATATACATATATACATATATATACATATATACATATATACACATATATACATATACATATATATATACACAGTGCTGTGAAAAGGTTTTTGCCCCCTTCCTGTTTTTTTATTTTTGGCATATTTGTCAAAAAAAAATCATATTACACAAAGATACTGAGTAAATACAAAATGCAGTTTTTAAATGATGAAAAAAAAGCTGTCCAAACCTACCTGGCCCTACTTGAAAAATTAATTGCCCCCTCCTGTTAAATCATGAAAGAACTGTGATTAACCACATTATTTTAGAAAGCTGAGTTAAATTTCACTAGCCAAACCCAGGCCTGATTACTGCCAGACCTGTTGAATCAAGAAATCACTTAAATAAAGATGTCTGACAAAGTGAAGCATGCTTAAAGATCAACATATCATGCTGCATTCTAAAGAAATTCAAGAACAGATGAGAAACAGAATAGTTGACATGTATCAGTCTGAAAAGGATTATAAAGCCATTTCTGAGGCTTTGGGACTCCAACGAAACATGGTCAGAGCCATTATCCACAAATGGAGAAAACGTGGACCAATGGTGAACCTTCCAAGGAGTGGCCGGCCGACCAAAATTACTCCAAGAGCACAACAACGACTCATCCAAGAGGTCATAAAAGAACCCAGAACAACATCTAAAGAACTGCAGGCCTCACTTGCCTCAATTAAGGTCAGTGTTCATGATTCAACAATAAGAAAGAGACTGGGCAAAAACGGCATCCATGGGAGAGTTTCTAAGGCAAAACCCACTGCTAACCAAAAAGAACATTAAGGCTCGTCTCATATTTTCCAAAAAATATCTTGATTATCCCCAAGACTTTTGGGCAAATATTCTGTGGATTGATGAGACAAAAGTTTAACTTTTTGGAAGGTGTTTGTCCCGTTACATCTGGCGTAAAACCAACACAGCATTTCATAAAAAGATCATAGCAACAGTCAAACATGCTGGTGGTAGTGTGATGGTCTGGGGCTGCTTTGCAGCTTCAGGACCTGGATGACTTGCCATAATGAATTCTGCACTCTATCAGAAAATCCTGAAGGAGAATGTCCGGCCGTCAGTTCGTGACCTCAAGCTCAAGCGCACTTGGCTTATGCAGCAGGACAATGATCCCAAACACACTAGCAAGACCACCTCTGAATGGCTCAAGAAAACAAAATGAAGGTTTTGGAGTGGCCAAGTCGAAGTCAAAAATTATTAATTTCTTCAAAGAAATAAATAATAATTAAAAACAAAACTAGTAGGAAAACTTGAAGTATCCGATCCGAACTGTACATTCTGCTTTGTTTTCTGAGTTAGGTCTGTGAACAATCAGTATCTATAAACATTTTCTGCTAGATAGTCATATTATTATTTAAACAATTTTTTACATCAATCTATTATTGTAGTATGATCTATTTCACTGCCCATATATGACATGTAAAGCATCCAGCCACAGTTTGCTATGTTTTCTATGTCGGTCTGGCTGCGTGTGACAGAGCCACGTAACAGAGCTGTGCTGCTGTCACCTCTGTGATTTACTGATAGCTGATCTTATTACATTACTATTGTATATTGATCCTGCATTATACATAAAGTCTGAGCTGAGACTGTAATAACACACAGACAGAAGAGAGCGAGAGAGAGCGAGAGAGAGGAGGAACAGAAGGAGATGGAGGCAGGTAAAGCCGACAGCATGACGCACAGAGATAGATAGATAAGAGGAAGATGTTTCTAATGGCTCACCGTAAATCAATACTCTTAATGTGAGTCATTCGTAGCAGGCTGAACAGATCCAGAGTCTCCACCCGGTTCCCCGCCATCGCCAGCTTGTCCAGGGCACAGAGGCGCTCCACCACGCCGGGGACCTGAGGGAAGTCATTGAAGGAGAGTCCCAAGCTGCAGAGCTGCGCGAGACTGCCCAGCTCCTCCGGAAGAGAATCCAAGCGATTCCCATCCAAACACAGCGTCTGTAAGCTGAGCAGATCACAGCCAAACAGACCCGCTTTAAAATATGGAAAATTATAAAGCGGTTACTATGATATTAAAGATGCTAGTTTTTACGTTGTTGTCAATATTGTTTATATTTAGAGGCATGGATATTTTTATTAAAATTAACAGATTTGAACTTCTTTTATTACATAAAAAAACCATTACAATAGAATCTTTTTTGTTTTATCCTTGTCCCAGACCTTTTATGTGTACAAACTTTTGGCCATATAGCAAATCTACAATGTTACAGCTACAGTTATGCTGCATAACTATGTTTGTTATATGAACCATTTTTATATCAACGGCCAAATAATATAAATATTATTATTAATAAATGTAATTATTTATTGAGCATTGGTGTCTTTTTTCATCATATCTCTAACATAACATCATATTTTATAATGGTTAACTTATTAAAGCAACATAATTAGAGATTTCATTAATTCTGAATATAATATAATATAATATATCATATAATAACTCCACTGCAGGCCTCCGTCATGTTCAGAGCACCTCATATACAAAGCTGAGCTGAGGGCAGTAAAACTAGGCTGATTTTTATGCTTGATTTAATCTGCTAGCGTAGTATGCGCGGCTGAACTTCATGCATTTCACTGGCTCATTTAGGTGAAAAAAAGAAGTTCATTTGACAGGCGCACTTGAATATAGCTGACCGTAATTACAGGAGCAGCGGTGCTATAAAGCATTGAATATTTTAAACACAATCATGCAAATCAAAGGATTATTTAGATTATAACCCATAATCGCTCTCATTATGTTGTGCGATGTTTTTCAGATGACCTACATGGCACATGTGTGCACTTCAAGCTGATTACAAAAACAGAGAGGTCACTTTGGCAGGAACAAAAAGGATCAGGGACTTGAAATTTGAGTTCAACTAAACGAGCACATGTTTTCTGTTTTAGATCAGCTCCAGCAACAGCAACAAACAAACAACGGTATATAATTATCTAGTTAAAGTCTGGCCAAAAGAGCAGCCGCAGACTGTGTGTTGTGCACAGCAGTGTTAATTTTGATTTAGGTTTAGTCAAGGTCTTTTGACTAAAATGCCATTTAGTTTGTAATATTTTAGTCATCTGAATTGTTTTTAGTTTTAGTCTAGTTTTAGTCGGCTAAATATCATAAGATTTTAGTCGACTAAATCTGCAGTAAATATAGTCGGCTAAAATCTAATGGGTTTAGTTACAGTGCATTAAATAAACATTTCTCTAAAATTTCCAATCTCATTATATAGGTTTGATATTAAGGTTTTATCATGATAGACACCGGTTTAACTGCGTTGGCACACAACATGCCTTTATGTTCAAATTAAATAAAACCACTTCTCATAAAGAACAAGAACATGGTCTTATTTTTAATGAAATACTAATGGTTATAAAGGCTAATTATGCATTCTTTATAGCAACTTGTTTATCATATTCTTCATTCTTTCAAGCAGACATATTTATTTCTATAAATAAATTTAGATTCATCTTTAGGGCTACTAAAGTTTTTCAGTCAAGAGCAGTGCGTGATTTTCTGTCTTTCTTTTGTTGCTTGATTAACATCAATAGGCGCGTTTCCATTACCCTTCAAATTGCGCAAATTGAAATTGCGAATTGAAAATACGCCTAATGGAAACGCGTCAATTTCGCAAAAACAAAAGTTTACGTTTTAGCCGCATAACATTGGTTAATGGAAACGCCGCCATTTCGCAATACTTTTTTATCGACATTCAGAAAATATCGCCAAAGTTTTTTGCGCAAATCTGTAATGGAAACACGCCTAATGACTCGGACAAAAGCAACTAAATTAAGCTGCTGTCCCTTTAAAACCGAATGCACAGCTGCAATTGATGCAATGTACTGATACACGTTCTCCCTACTGTTTACGTTCACTTAAGACGTAATCAACTGTGTTTATGCGAATACTCGTCAAAACAGACAATTCAACAATTTTGTGTGCAATTCTCCATTCATGCGACGCAAAAGAGTACTCGCGCACTGTGAGAGGCGCTTTCTGTGTGTGTGTGCTTCAGTGTCTGCTCTCAGAAAACCGGACCGAATTGAGTTCTCTCTTGCGTCGTCAGATTTATCCATATGTCTGCTCTTCTCTTACTCCCACATATTGACATTTTTTTAAGTTTTATGCGACGTGCAGCAAGTGTATGTTAGCTTATGTCCCGCCGGTTCTCATGTACGTATCTAACCTCCGAACCACGCAGCAGATTCGTTCTGAATGAATCTCTTCCCAAATCGCCCCTCCCTAACATTTCCTCTCGTTTTTATTCGTTGACGAAAATGTCAATAGATTTACGTCATAGTTTTTGTCATTCAAAAAGAGTTTTAGTTCAATATCCTCTCGTTGTCGCCGGTGAAAAAAAATGTCATTGACGAAAATTATTTGTCAACGAAATGAACACTGGTGCACAGTAAGGTGGTGTGATGTGTGCTGACCTCTGGAGGTTTTCGAGGCGGGACGGGACAGCACTGAGGCCGTTGCAGGACAGATAGAGCTCCGTCAGTGTCTGGATCTCACACAGCGACTCCGGGAAGACGCCCAGCCCATTGTGAGAGAGATTTAAGCTCCTCAGCTGGGCAAATCTGCGGAAATATGCAGTGCTCTTAATGGACACGTTTATTTCCTGATGATATGACTCTATCATGAGACACGAGAAACACTAATGCATAATGGATTTACATCAAATGCATTTAGAGAGCAAGCAAACTCTCTCTACATTATAAGACAAGCAATTATGGAAAGAAAAAAAAACACAACGATACCGGATCTCAATCAGTCAGTCCTTCTGTTTAATTTCATTTATTCGTTTATTAATAATAACTGATTCTAATAAGTACTTATACTAAGCCATTTATTTATTAATACTTTTATTGTTTTAAATAAACTAATTTTATTAGTAAATGTAGAATCCATATCCCATCATTCATTGCACGGTTTGCACACTGCACTGATTGCACTCATTGCACACAGCTGTTTCTAATCACCTCACTCACTATATAACACCCACTCTAACCACCATTATCGGCTGAGTATTGTTTAGCCTGTACCCCTTTCCGAGTCTCTGTGTTTTCCTTGTTTTGCCTTGCCTGTTTTTGCGGTTTCTGATCTTTGCCTGTTTCCCTGGATTTCTCCCTCTCGTCTCGCCCCTGTGATTCTGTCTGCCGATCGGTGACCTACGCTAGCCCTAGGACTATTCTTGTGTTTTTGCCCGCCATATACCTGTTTGCCATTGTTCGACCCTGCCTGTTATACCACGTCTCTTTAATAAAAGCTTGCAGATGGATCCACACGCCTCGTCAGCCCCGTTACAGGTACACTTCTGTAAAGACGTGTCCTGGAGACAAATTAAGAAAGATGCTCAATGGAGATAGTTTTGACACAGTTTTGATCCAAATGTAGACAATATCTCTTCTGGGAGACCATATATACTATCCCATGGGGAGATTTTCTTTCAGTAAATTTTGCAGGTATGACAATCGACTAAAGGAGAAGAAAAATATCAAACACATTCTATAAATATTAAAAATAAAAATTATTAAGTAATCTGCCATATACTGTAAAATGTATCTCTCCATTATTACATATTCAAGTCCAAAAGTAACATTCAAGGTAGAATATATATATGTGTGTATTTTTAAAAAGAAATTAATACTTTTATTCAGCAAGGATGCATTAAATTGATCAAAGGTGACATTAAAGTCATGTTACAAAATATATATATTCTTTTGAACTTTCTATTCATCAAAGAGTCCTAAAAAAAACATATATAAAACAGAAAAAAAAACTGTTTTCAACATAAAAAATATTATTTGGATTTAAAAGCAATATCTAGAAACTGAATTTTTACCTTTGTCTTAACAAAATGAATGTTTGCAAATTTCAAAATAAATAGAATAAATAAATAAATCCTCATTTGCCAAAATAAATAAAAATATGCTACCGACCTCTAAATGTCTGACTTGGACAAGTGTTATTTTATTTTTATCATCAGTTCTCTTTTCAGATTTCCTTTTTTAAGTTTTAGTAATATTATTGTGCTTTTTATATTAATTTTAAGTCATTTTACATATTTTATATATATTTGGTCAAATATGTCTATGTCTATATATATACAGTGGGTACGGAAAGTATTCAGACCC